TCTGTCATTTGTGTCATTCTGGTTTCTGTTCTCTGATTGCTGCTATCCTTATTTGGTTGTGATATCTGATTCAAATTGTGACTAAGGTTCCTGTTCAGTTCTCAATATCAATTCAGAATTTCAAGATCGTTTGAGGTATTATTCTTCTTACTGATATTATTTCCAGCACTGCTTTGTCATTTTCTTGCTATTCTTGAGTATTTGCTGGTGTTGGTTGGATTCTTTTAAGGAACATTTATTTCATTTAAACGAAAAAAGTCTGATTTCTGTTCAGTCATTTTTGCTGTCTGAAGTGCGTTCTGCTGTTTACACTAATTTCAAGTGGTCCTAGTGGTGAGTATTCCCGCCTGACCTGGAATGGATCCCCAGCAACGGTGCTAGTTTAATAAGCCAGTCGTATGGCTATCAATTTTCCATAATTACTCTCTATAGAAAAGGATGAACAATCCTAGGTCGATCTCTTGGTCAGTAGCTCTTAAAAAATTCAGATTAAATGCAGTGATTTACAAATTAAAATCAGAAATGACCGAGTGGCAGAACTGAATTGAAGCAACCAAAGAATTAAACTAGCCGACTTGTTTATTTGATTTTTTTTTTTTGTTTATTAAGAACTGAGAAATAACAGTGCAGAAAACTAGAAGAAGATTAATAAGATCAGAAGAGATTACCTCCTAGGAGTTTTACCTGGCCATCGTTGCTTATCAAAGGAATGGAGTGAAAAGGTGGGATAACAGAGTTATGCAATTAAACACTCTGAAAACAGAGTGAACTTTATCTGCCATGAATCATTCGATTAAGTGCTAAGTTCAAGTCCACTAAACTGAATAACACTTCTATCTACTCAACAACCAGAATGCACACTGAATTACATAGTAGAAATAATTCGCAATCCAAATTCCAATCTAAGCAACAGATCACAATCTATCACAGGTTCAAATCTGAATTACAACTAGCAATTAAATCTGAACTACAGAAATGAAGTGGAAAAATGGATCAAAACTCTCTAACCACAGCAGAAGCTCAGGCCATGGTTTCACTTATAGGAAGAAGGAAGCTTAGCTGCTCATGAAGATCAGATCTGCTACACTTAGCTTAGAACATAATAGATCCATGGATTCAACCTCTGGAAGTGGAAAGTCTTTAGATGAGAGACTGAGAATGAACTCGAACGGGGAAAAACTGAGAGAGAAGAGGAAAGATGAATCTGGACGAAGTAGTGAATAGAAGTCTCCAAAGAAGACAATGACACAGGTTTCCCTCTCTTTATACTCATAGGCTGCCTTCAAGTCATCCTCATTTCTTTGATTTTATGTTAGAAACAGCTTTCCGCAACTTGCTCCTAGTCGAATCTGACTAGCCTAGCTGGAGAAAATAGAGTCATTTCAGATCCCGCCTTGGAATCTCCTTTTTGTTCACTTCATTTCCCATGTTCACTGGAATTTCATTTCAGCATTTGAAATTTTCGAAATTGCCCCTGGATTCATAAAAGCACATAAAATAACACGTCCAGTTTGGGAAAGAAGCTGAACACCAAGATAAAACCCATTTTTATCCATTAAATCCAATCAGAAAATATTCACCATATTTATTCTTAATTTTGTAAAAGTCAGAAATAAAATCTTAAAATCCTCATGGAGTCCTAATTAAAACACAAAAAAAAAAAATGAGATTATCAAATTCCCCCACACTTGTCTTTCTGCACTCCCTAGCAAAAGAGCATGTATTAGAATGGAGCTGAGCAAGATTGGAGCTAAAATGTATTCTAAAGTTCATGATATGTATGTCAAATAATAGCAATCCCTTGGCTTTGCATCATGAATGGAGTACCCAAATGCAAATTGAATGCTCAATGTACGAAGCTTAATTATGATGAGTCAAAGTCAGAATATGACTAAAGTAATTCTGTTTTACTCTCCTTTCCCATTTAGGTAATTCCGTTCTACTCTCCTTTCCCACCCCATAAGGTAAATTTCACTCTACCTCTTTACTTCAACATCTAACATAGGCTTGTAGAGTGTCAATTTCTCCATCACTCTTTAAGTCATTGAAACTGTGAATCAGTAGGACTTTTTATGTTGTTGTAATGTTGGGGAAAGGTCTAATGGAAATGGTAAGAATGAGATAGAATCAATCCAAGTACTTTACATGTCAGCAAATGATTCATGCTAGGTCTTGCGACTTCTAACACTTGAGACCAATTGAATTATTCAGCATGGGTACTTTTGACTAGAACTTCTTTTCTAAAGCAAAATTTGTCACGAGCTAATAGGAGCAGGATTAAGTGACTGCCTCAAATTTTCATAAATTTTTTTTTTTGGCCTTTTTCCAAATTTCTGACTTTCTGGCTCTTCTTTTCTTCCCCCTTGCTGTCCTGGTTTTGCTCTTATCACATTGAGGACAATGCTGGTTCTAAATGTGGGGGACGATTGCTAATGTAGATATTTAGGAAGATACTTACAATTTAGTTAATTTTAATTTGATGTTTCACTTTTATTAATTAGTTTATTTTTGTTTAGTTAGCGGGCAGTTAGTTACATGTAACGCCCCCTATTCCATTATTCACGTTTTCAAATTTCATTTTATTTTAATTTTCGTAATTAGCTTAGTTTACTAACATTTTAGGAATCTGGGAAATGACCTGAGCACTGATCGGGATATCATATGGGGAGTGACAGTATGAAAACTTTGGCAACGGAGGAATGACTACTCTTTAAAAATGGCTTCTGTAAACCACAATCAGGCTCCTGTTATCTTGAATCTATTTTTCATTTTTTGCAATTAAAAAAGAGCCTGCAGGAATTCAATCTACGAGTACAACCGAAATTAGAGGAAGCTGGATACCTCCATCTAGCTTGATAAAATGTTGATGGTGCCAAATCAAATTCTTCACAAACAGCGGCTTGTGGTGGTGTTCTTCGGGATTTTACGGGACATTAGATTACTGGATTTTTATATTTCCTTGGTAATTGCACTGCTTATGAAGTTGAGGAGTGGGCTATGCTCAAGGGCCTGAATGTAGCTCTTGATATGGGCTTTAAAGAGATGGTGAACAATGATTGTGGTGGAATTACATTTGAAAATTTATAATCTGGGCAATTAACCCTCCTTCAGTGCCAAAAACAAAATGTTCACATCTCTGCATTCGTTGGAACACTTGTTCGACGATTTCAATTTTGAATTTCAACGTGTCCCTGCACATTGCAATACTGTCAGGGACGCTCTGGCAAAATTGGGTCTCAAGGAAACGGCTTTTCAGATTCTTTATGGTTGGGATTGCGATCGTCTGTCGCTTAGCTTCCTTCGTTGGCACAAGCCCACAAAAAACAAAAAACAAAGGCTTCTTTTTAGGCTCTAGCCTTCTTTTATACCGGGGGAAAAAAACTTTTGCAGAAAGCCTCAGTAAGGAAGCCCGTTTGCTGCCCCCAACATCCTCAAAGTATGGAATTTAATTTCAGCTTGCCAAACATGGCATAATGTTAAATTTAGAAAATTGTGGGCTTGAAGCGCCAGATACAATGTATCCAATATTAGTAATACTTTATCTGATTGTACATGAAGGAACTAGGTAATTAAATTCTAGAAGTAAAAAGAAAATTACTTTCTCCGTCCTTTTTATAAGATTTAAATTTTGGATCCCTCTATTCTTTTTTGTAAGATCTCTTTGGCATCGTCTTAGCATGAATGCAACTTTGTCAATTTAACTTCTAACTAATTTTTTCATACACTTTTTTTAATCATTTTTTTCATTATCACCTTCTCATTTACTTACTTATAAATAATGGCATATTTAAAATAAAAATATATTTTCTAGCATATTCATTATTTTTAATTATTTTTAACATATTTTAAAATCATGTAATTGAGTTATTTGGGTGGTATAATAATGGACGAAGAGAATAGTTATTGGTTAAAAAATATGTAGGTATTAATTTATTGATGTTAAAAAATTAGTTAAGCTAATTATTTTTTTACTAATATGTTGATTTTTTAAAGTACTTTTTAAAAATTTTTGCATTGGAAATCACTCTTTTAATGAAATATTTCTTTAATATGTACCATTAATTTTAAAAATTTAAAATAGAAAATGGATTGAAATATTAAATTAGGAATAAACTGATCCACTGGATTTTATAAGAGAGTAGTATCACGTAAGATCAATGTTTTCCGCCTAACTGCTGAATCTTAGTCTTTCATATGTTGCACTCTAAAATTACTTTGGGCATCTATGAAGAAATTGAATGCCTTCAATTGTGATATCTGCCAATCTCATGAAGAAGACGTCCTTCACGTGCTATGGGACTGTGATAAGGCGACAATTATTTTTTGAAAAACTTGGATGCAGAAATATGGGCCCGGTTAATTAAGTGCGAATACTGATTTTTTGCCAATCTCAAATAAAAGAAAGTTTTACCGTCAAAGTCTCTGTCACCCCACTGCTTTAAATTTGATGTTACCCACTGTTTTTGATCAAGAGATTGCGAATTTGATCCTAAACACACAAGTAACCCTCTCAACCTTTAAAACATTATAAAAGATCCACATAAACTTTATATTTCAAATTTGTACCGATCAACCCCACTCATGAATTACATACCATTAAATTATATTTTTGTAAGTGTGTATATTGTTAGTGTAAGATATACCCAAGAGGGGGTGAGTTGGGTAAGGATGAAAAAAATTAAATGCAATCTATTATCAAATGCAAAATATCAAAAGGATAAAGTTAGCAAGTAGACCTTCGAGGTGATTGGAGTCTGGGAAGAGAGCTAAGAAGATAACGCACACAAGTTATCCTAGCTCAACCGAATCTACAATAGGCTGTGTCCAGTCTTCAAAAACCTCATTAGATTTTAAAATATACTATTTACCTCAAGTTTAATATAGATACTTTCAAGAAAACGTTGAGTCCCGCTTGTTGGGTTAGGGAGAGAAGCAGTAACTTCTCTCTAACTTCTTTTGGTTCAGTAAATGTACTGTTGCTCTTTTGCGCTTGGCTCCACGTTTTCTTTCTGCAGTTTGCTTTTTCTGTTACTCGCTGTCCTTCTTTTTTATCTTTGTTTTCTACTGGTTTCCATGTCTTCACTCGGTGATTCTAGAGGATATGGGTGGTCCCAAGAAAGTGAATCTGGGCATGAATCGTTGTCTCCGGATAATGCAAATACTGGACCCCCTTCCTTACTTTATTAGTTTGCTATGCAAGGTCCTGCGATTAGGCTGGATCAACTTCCTGGTGCAGATGCGGAAGATTTCTGGCATAAATGTTTGATCGGCTATCTTATTGATGTCAAAGTACTTAACATTGAGAAAATTCATGCTGCTTTAGGACATGCATGGCATTTAAAAGGTCAGTTTCAGGTAATCGGTAATTTTGGTAATGCCTATTACATCTGGTTTCAGTTTGATGAAGATCGAGAGTATGTTCTGTTTCGTGGTCCATGGTCTGTTGAAAATACTTTGATGGAAATGAGACCGTGGCATACGGATCTGTTTTTGGATGAAGATCAACCTACTCGCATTGCCTTATGAGTTCAAATTTGTGGTCTTCCTCCGAGTTATTTTACTCTGACCACGGCTCAAGTTATCGGAAATGTTCTGGGTGAATTTTGTAAATTTGATCTTATGTCTGGTAATTCATATAATGTTCGTTTTATGCGTATTCAAGTTCTTGTAGATCCATCCTTACCTTTAGTTACTTCACTTCGTGTTCGTCTGAAGACACTGAGGCGGGTTTGGTTAGATTGTCGGTATGAGAGTTTTTTAGACTGTGTTTTCAATGCGGAAGAATTGGTTATGTAGATCGACATTGTGACTGGTCACCTTTAAATATGAAAAATGCAATCCTTCATCATGAGTTGCAGGCTTATATGAAATATGGGGTTCGTTATGTTAAGGATTATAAGTTTCCTTATGTTTCAAGAAAGAATATTGCATTTTTTGCAAAAGCTGAAGTTCGAAAGACTACACGGATCTGGCATATTTTGGAGAATGGGCAAGATAAATATGTGATTAAAGATTTCTCTCCTTTTGCGGGAGCTCACCTAGAGCAAGCTTTTAACCCACCTTCTGGGATTATTGGTTTAGATGATAGTTCTGATTCTGATAATGATGAGGATAATGGTCCTCAGGACCATGGTGGTTCTCAAGGTAATTCTTCTAGTTCTCCTTCTTCTGGTGCTCCTGATTTGCCTTCTCAGCAGGATCATGATTCTGGCTTTATGGGTGATGACTTGAATAATCATAATAATGGTGGGGTTTTGGAGAATCAAGTTTCTACTCATGCTTTTAACACTTCTTCAGATGAAGATGACATTCAGAACCTTCCAAACTCACCTGATAGTCTCGGGTCACAGTCTCGGGGCTCTATTTTTGCATGCGGATCATTTGGTGGTCAGGATTCTCCTTTGTTTACTGATACAAGTGGTGGTGTGAATGTGACGGGTTTATGCTCATGGGCTTCCTTTAGAGACACGTATCATTGAGGATGCTCATCCTCAGGTAGGATTTCAGTGTGTCCCAGCTGGATCTAATAGCTGTTTTCCTTCTCACTTAGGTCCTCAAGGGAATCAAGGTATTCAAGACACGTGTAATATGATTTCAACAGCTGGCTCAACAGATGGCTCTCTTCCTACTATTGTTAGAAGTCATTCAAAAAAGAGAAGTTTAAATGATGTATTACACTCTTTGGGCTTGTCTTCTTTTCCTCATACGGTTGTCGCAATGGAGTCTGACAAATGTTAGACCTTGTCTTGATGGTGCTCCCACAGATTTACAAGCCCAAAATTCTCTACCTCAAAGTTCTTTAGTGGGTTCTCAAAATGAAAGTGATATGGGCTTACATTTGAATGGCCCATTTTCTTTGACTGCCCCTGACCCAGCACTAATTGACTGTAATTGGACCATGGGTTCGGATATGGTTCACTCTTATCGGGCTTGGTCTAATTTTATTCCTGGCTTACACGATACCTCTATTGTTATCCCGACTGTTTCAGATCCATTGCTGGTTTCTGTTCCAGCATCACGGGTTGCTCCTACTATTGTTGCTGGGTTGGAAGATATAGTTAAGCAAAGCTCAACTCTCAAACGTAAGAGAGCTGAAGAGGAAGAGGACTCTTTTGGTCGTGCGAAGGCTTTTGCTGCTGATGTGGCCTTACAGAATAATATCTTGACTGTACTTTCTATTGGAAATTGTGCCCTAGGGGCCAATCATTGTGTTATGAACATTGTTGATTTATGAATTTCTTAATTATGTTATCATATTATTTGCATGTTTACTATGATGACTATCCTTAGATAACTCATGATTTATCCTAAATGTCCCTGGTTGGTCATCTATGTGGGAGCAGAGATGAAATAAGACCAGTATGACTTTGAAGATATATAGAGATATAAATCAAAGTCATAGGCACATGTAAGAGTACAAGGTGTTGGACCGACCCGCTATGAGAGAACTGCATGGGTTAAGTCATAAGCTTCTCTCATATACAAACCATGTCACTGTGCCCTTTGACCTGAGATCATCATGGATTCCTACATGAGAAACGCTCAGCTTTGACATAGTCAAAAGTCACTTTTGACCGAGTGATCATAAAAACTATGTTCAGGCTTAGTGGTTTTTCATGCGGAGGAATGTGAATGGTCAAGATGGAATTTGTCCCTCACATTCGTAGATAGATATTACTGGGCCCCTCGATGAGTGAGTCTGAGAAATGTATGGCCATACTATAATGGAAAGGTAGTTCTGTTCTATACTTAGACTACTCAGGGATCGAGAAAGTAACGATCATGAATAGGAGGATGACGTTCTCCATGCCTCATCCATGACCAAAATGTCGTGTGACAAAAGGGACGTGATATGGTTATATGAAAGGTTATATCGTTCAACGATCCTCATATGATTTGGGTAGTCGTGATGCCTTGCTAGAGACTGCTTATGACTTGTGAGTCATTATAGTTAATGGCCACTGCCAACTTCATATGGGCCTACGGGTCGCACACAAAATAGCCCAACACGAGCTATGATATCCAGATTCATTGAATCTAAGATATGTCCAGATTCAATGAATAATATAGGGTGGACGTATATATATATATAAATTCGTATATATATACATATTATATAAATATAAAAGATATTAATTATTAGATTTAATTTATAAGGATAAATTAGATCTATATCACTTTTAAATTTGAAACTTAAATGGATATGATATCTTAGATTTAATTTATTAGGATAAATTAAATCTATATATCAATTTTAAATTGATAAGAAATATATATCTCTTAGATTTAATTTATTAGGATAAATTAAATCTATATATCAATTTTAAATTGATAAGAAATATATATCTCTTAGATTTAATTTATTAGGATAAATTAAATCTATATCAATTTTAAATTGATAAGATATAATATAATATCTCAAATTTGATTTATGAGAATAAATCAAATATAATTCCGTCATATCTTTATTTTGAATTAAATAAATAGGTGAATTAAATCTGTGGGACGGATTTAATATAAACCATATTTATTTAATTGTTTTCTTATCTGATTACACAATATTTGATATTGTATTAATTTCGGAATTAATTTAGGATTAATTTTGAAATCAAATATCTTTCATAATACCTATAGCATCCTATATATTTGATATTAGGAGTTAGGGTTTTGTGTGTGAGAGTGCAAAAGCTTGCAGATAAGAGACGGCCAGTAAATAGAGAAGGGAGGACGGATTCTTCGATAATAAACCATAGAAGGACAAGAGGCGTTAGCACGTTGTTCGTGATTGGAACGCTGTTCGTGTGGATACCGGTAGAGGAAGCCGATCTGAGTTGTCGACTTCGAGCGATAAAAGAGGCGAGCAGAGGCATCCTGAACGGCGGAATCCCCGAGTCACCAAGAAATCGAACATCGAAGGTAATACTTCTTACTACTTGACTTAAACACAATCGGTAGATCCGGGCAAGGGATTGAAAATTTAAAAGTTATTTTCCGTTGCGCGTCTTTCAATTCCCTTCACTTTCTTCTTCTGTTTCTCTAAATTCACAGGTAACACCTCTTGATATTTCTGGGGCTATGGAGGCTTGCCTTCAAAAGCCTCCACAGGGGCCATGATGCTTTTAAGTTGGAACTGTCACGGATTGGGTAGGTCTACGATGGTTCATCATCTTCGAAAGCTACTCAGCAAATATAAGCCTACTTTTGTCTTTCTTATGGAAACCAAGATGGTAGTAAATAAGGTTTCTAAGCTTTTGCTTCCTTTTGGGTTCTCGTTAGTGATGGGGAGTGATCCAGTTGGTAGGAGTGGAGGTCTAGTTTTTGGTGCTGCTTTGGGGAACTCCGTGAAGTTGTTAGACGTTACTCCTAACTGGATCCACCTTGCTGTAAATATTAATGAAGATATCTTTTGTTATTTTTCGTGTGTGTATGGTTTTCCTACATTGCAAAATCGTTTTAAACTTTGGGATTGGTTAAATTCAATTTCTCCTTCTATTAATCACCCTTGGATAATTGTGGGGACTTCAATCAAGTGGTTTCATCAGAGGAAAAACTAAGTAAAAATTTGGTAATTCATAGTGCTAGACCTTTTAAAGATTTTATTCAAAATGCCAAATTGTTTGATTTCCCCCCTAAAGGGAACTGGTTTACCTGGACGACTAAGAGGACTAGTGAGGATATCGTGTAGGAACGGTTAGATCGAGTGCTTGGTAATGATCTATGGCTTTCTTCCTTTCCACAGTCTACATTACAAGTTTTGTCTGTGGCTGGGTCTGATCATGCGCCTTTACTTTTTTCCTCAGACAATGTGGATTCTTCAATTGGTCATAAACCTTTTTGCTTTGAAAATTTTTGGCTTAATTTTCCTGATTGTGAAAGGATTGTTTTAGACGTCTGGCAAGCTGTTCAACATTCAAATATTTTATGGTTTGCTCTGTGTAAACTTGAGTCGGTTAAAGAGGAACTTAAGATCTGGAATAAATGGTCTGTTGGGAGAATAGAAAGCAAAATTGAGTTCTTTGAAGCTGTCCTCAATAATCTTCAAAAGCATCTTACCATGCCTGGTTGTAATGATTGGGTTAATATAATTAGAAATCATCTTGAATTTTGGTTGGAGTGTCAAGAATCACTGTGGTGTTAGAAAGCTAGAATTAATAAAATTCTTTTTGGTGATCGAAATACTGCTTATTATCATCGGATTGTTAAACAAAGGAGAATGAAGTCAAATATTGTGAAGTTGAGGGATGAAAATAATAAATGGTGCACTGGATTTAATCAATTAGCTGCTTTACCTGTGGCCCACTTTTCTCATAGATATTCTGATACTTCTCATCTTTCTCCTCAAGATGTTTTATCTCATCTTGCTGATGTGCCTTTGCCTGTCCTTACAAATAATCACTTTCATTCTCTTTTGAAACCTATTTCATCTGAGGAAGTTGAGCTGGCTGTTAAGAAAATGAAAGTAGATGGAGCACCAGGTCTGGATGGGTTTAATCCAAGATTTTATCAAACTTTTTGGCCTTATGTGAAGGAGGATGTGTATCAAAGTGTTTCTCATTTTTTTAACACTGCCTCCTTACCTCTTGCTTTGAATAGAACTTTTATCTCTTTAATCCCTAAGGGCAAGACCTTTCAATCGTTTAATGACTTTCGCCCAATTAGTTTATGTAATGTTCTCTACAAGATTATAACCAAAGTCCTTTGTAATCATTTGCAGCCTGTCCTTCAAGATGTCATTACTCCTTTCCAAAATGCTTTCATTAAGGGGCGTTTGATTTCTGATAATGTTTTAGTGGCTAGTGAAGTTATGACTAAGATCAAGTCCTTCCGTAAACAGAAGAAAGGCTAGTGTGTTATTAAGTTGGATATTGAAAAGGCTTTTGATAAGTTGTCGTGGTCCTTCATACATGCTGTGCTCTTGAAGATGAATTTTCCCCCTCTTTGGATCAAATTAATCATGCATGTGGTTACTTCTGCATCATATTAATTTCTGATTAATGGGTGTCCTTCTCCAGTGTTATACCCACAGAGTGGCATTCGGCAGGGTGATCCACTCTCCCCCTATCTTTACATTTTATGTGCTAATGTTCTCTCCTCTTGGATTTTGTAGGTGCAACATCAAGGTCAATGGAAAGGACTTTCTTTGAGTAGGGGTTCAGTGCCTATTTCTCACTTATTATTTGCTGATGATACTCTACTTGTGATCAGAGCAGATGAACAGTCTTTTGCACTTGTTAATCAGGTGCTCGATAAATATAGTTATCTAGCTGGACAAAAGATTAATAAAACGAAATCATTGATGGTGTTTAGCCCAAATGTTCCTCATGATTCTAAAATAAAGTTATCTAAATTTTTAGGTATTAATTTTACAAATCATTTAGGAAAATATTTGGGCACTTATGTGGATTTGGGTTGACAAAGATCAATTTTATTCAATGAAATCTTGGACAAAATTCACTCTCAAAGTTACAGCAATGGAAGGCATCTTTGTTATCTCAAGCAGGGCGCTTAACATTGATTAAATCAGTAATGTCTTCCGTATTGGTTTACCCTCTTTCTTTTCACAAATTGCCTGCAAATATTGCACACCAAATTGATATGAGGATTGCGGATTTTTTCTGGGGCTTTAATGTTGATAGAAAAAGGATGCATTTGTTGAGTTGGGATAAAATCTACCTACCTAAATGTTTTGGAGGGCTAGGTGTGAGAAGAACTTTTGATTTCAATGCTGTGTTATTGGCAAAAAATGTTTGGCGTATGCTTACTGCTCCAAAGAATTCTTTAATTGGCTTAGTTTTACGGCAGAAATATTTGGTACATGGTAAGGATGGTATATTAGCCACCAGAAGTTTGCAGTCTAAAATTTGGAAGGATAGTTGTGCTATTAAGGATGTTGTTGTAAATCATCTCTCATGGTCTGTTGGAAATGGCTCTTCCATTAGCCTCTTTAGCCGCCTTTGGTGGCCATTGCGGTCTCTTTTACCACTGACATTAAACTCAGTTGGTGATCTATTACTGCAGCATCGAGGATGTTGGAATGAGACTCTTATTAATTATCTGTATGAACCTCATGTGGCTCAGTGTCTCTTAAGAACCCCTTTTTCACTATTTCATCAAATGGATAGATTTGTTTGGGTGGGAAATATTTCTGGTAATTATACGGTGGCTGATGGATATCGTTCTCTTCTTACACGGCCTGCTCATGCATCTATTGATTTTAAAAGATTTTGGTGTCTCACGTCCAGATTGCGACTCATTCCTCGTCTTTCTCTTTTCTTGTGGCGATGGTTCTTGGATGTTCTACCGACAAGATATAATCTTAACAGACATCATTTGTTAGTAGAATCATCCCGTTTATTTTGTGATTGGCCTTTGGAATCTTGTTTTCATCTATTTTTTAGCTGCCATTGGGCACGTGCTGTGTGGTTTGGTCCATCTTTAGGACTACGAGTGGATATTATTCAGGAATACAATTGTCAAGATTGGGTTTTCCAGATTCTGCTTGATATGGATGATTTCATTGCTATGAGCGTCTGTAGGGTATTGTATTATATATGGTTTTTTCGCAATCAAAGAATGATGGATAAGGTTGACATTAATCCTTTATTAGTTACCCGTCAGGCTTTTTCTGAAGCTGCTTTTTATAGTCATATACAAGCCTCATTTTCTTTAACATATAAGAGTTGGTCCCTTCCTCATAATCCTCGCCAGCCAACTGGGACGTTGCCTAATAATGTTCACTGGTTTATTCGTATGGGAAAATTGCGCAGCAAGTCTTCCAAGGCAAAGAGAATTTCTTTCTCTGTATTTTTTTATAATCAGCATTTTATTACATGCACTGGTTCATCTTGGAGAGGGCACTGCAAGTGGCATCCTTGTTTGACTCTTTTGCACAGGGTGTTACTTTTGATATGTCACCAAAGTCAAGTTCTTAGTCCTTTGTCTTTTCCACTTTACCTTTGGGTTAAGGAAAATGGTTTTTGGAGGGTTCTTAATGGTGCTGTCACTGTAGATATTGGTTTTAGAGGTGTTCTTCAGGATTGTCTTACTCTTTGTAGTATGATTGCTGATTTTCATCTTATGTAAACATTTGTATTTTTTTCTCATAAAAAAAAATAGATACTTTCATGACAAAAAAAATTTAATATGGATACTTGAGTGAAGGGAATTGAAAGACGACGCGCAGCGGAAAAACAACTCGAAATTTTAAAGCTTTCAATCCCTTGCCCGGATCTACCGATCGCGTTTAAGTCAGGTAGTAAGAAGCATTACCTTTGGTGATCGGTTTCCAAGTGGCTCGATGATTCCGCCGTTCAGGATGCCTCTGCTCGCCTCCTTTATCATTCGAAGTCGACAACTCCGGTCGGCTTCCTCTACCGGTATCCACACGAATAGCTCTCCGGTTACAGACGGCGTGCTAGCGCCCTTTTTGTCCGTCTAGGGTTTTCAGAAAATCCGTCCTTTCTTCTCTCTTTTGGCCGTCCCTTATCTGCTTAGTGCTTTCACTCTCACTCTTAAAACCCTAGCTCCTCATATCAAATATATAGGATGCTATAGGTTTAATGAATGATATTTAATTTCGAAATTAATCTTAAATTAATTCTGAAATTAATACAATATCAAATATTGCCTAATCAGATAAGAGAGCAATTAAATAAATATGGTTTATATTAAATCCGTCTCACAGATTTAATTCACCTATTTATTCAATTCAAAATAAAATATGACGGAATTAATTTATATAGATTTAATTTATCCTTATAAATTAAATCTAACAATTAATATCTCTTATATTTATATAATATATATACGAAATTATATATATATATATACACGTCCACCCTATATTATTCATTGAATCTGGATGTATCTTAGATTCAATGAATCTGGACATCATAACTCGTATTGGGCTATTTTGTGTGCGACCCTGTAGGCCCATATGAAGTTGGCAGTGGGCCATTAACCATAATGACTCACAAGTCGTAAGCGGTCTCTAGTAAGACATCACGACTACCCAAAACATATGAGGATCATTGAACGATACAACCTTTCATACAACCATATCACGTCCCTTTTGTCACACGACATTTTGGTCATGGATGAGGCATGGAGAACGTCATCTTCCTATTCATGACCGTTACTTTCTCGATCCCTGAGTAGTCTGAGTATAGAAACGGAACTACCTTTCCATTATAGTATGGCCATACATTTCTCAGACTCACTCATCGAGGGGCCCAGTAATGTCTCTCTACGAATGTGAGGGACAAATTCCATCTTGACCATTCACATTCCTCCGCATGAAAAAAAAAAAACTAAGCCTAAACATAGTCTTTATGATCACTCGGTCAAAAGTGACTTTTGACTAGGTCAAAGCTAAGCGTTTCTCATGTAGGAATCCATGATGATCTCAGGTCAAAGGGCACAGTGACATGGTTTGTATATGAGAGAAGCTTATGACTTAACCCATGCAGCTCTCTCATAGCGGGTCGGTCCAACACCTTGTACTCTTACATGTGCCTATGACTTTAATTTATATCTCTATATATCTTTAAAGTCATACTGGTCTTATTTCATCTCTGCTCCCACATAGATGACCGACCAGGGACATTTAGGATAAACCATGAGTTATCCAAGGATAGTTATCACAGTAAACATGTAAATAATATGATAACGTAATTAATAAATTCATAAATCTACAATGTTCATAGCAATATGATTGGCTCCTAGGGCACAATTTCCAACATTGAGAACCATTACGGCTCTCTTAAGTTTACACAGGTACTTAAGAACAGCTTTCTACTAAACACTTCTTATCATAATGAGTAAGATTATAATCAATCGATCCCCTCAAAGACCCAAACTCCATGAATAACACTCCAAATAATAAATGATCGTAATAAATCAACTTTTCCTAGTGAAGTATATTATTTGAAGCACTAAAGTACAACATGAGATGATAATAGTGTTACAAGTGAGAATTCATGATTCAAAGTTTTGACACTTTATTTGCTTTTCTTATGGGTTTGCTCTATTGCAAATGCGTCTCTCTTTATAGGTGAATGTTGGTGAGTGGCCATTAAAGACAATAAACTTCTTGTTGGAAATTATATTACGTCTTTTCATAGAGCTTAGGTTGTTGAACGTTTGATGAGCACTAGTTGTATATGCACCAAATTAATTACTAGTTAAACCCAAGTCAATCTCTACACAGAGTCAATTAAAGCCAAAACAATTGATTAATTAATGTGATTATAGAGACATTAAGAAGTAGGAGAGAAGATTGATTAGAGAGGAAATAATGCACCATTTGGATGGGAAGAAAAGTTAGGAGGAAAGAAAATGGGAAGAGAGAAAATAGAGAGAAGAGAAAATATTATTACCCATCTTATTTGGATGAAGCAGAGAAAATACAAAGGAAAAAAAAAGCTAATATGTGAATGACTAAAATACCCTTATCTATATGCTAAAATATATTATGTTTAAAACCAAATTAAATATCACAATAAAAAAAATTATATGAACATTAATATTATCAAATAATTTAAAAAATTAATTAATAAAAATATATTACCGTATTATTACATTTAAAAATCAAATAGTTTAGTAAAAAAATGTTATTTTTAATAAAAATAAAAAGTGGATTTTTTAAATTAAATTAAATAAAATAAAATAAATAAAATATTTATTATTTGCAATTATTGTTAAATAATAAAAATTTATTATAAAATTTGGCTATAGTGAGATAATTTTGCTAAATAATAAAATTGCCATAAATAAAATAAATTGTTGAACGTTTGATGAGCACTAGTTGTATATGCACCAAATTAATTACTAGTTAAACCCAGGTCAATCTCTACACAGAGTCAATTAAAACCAAAACAATTGATTAATTAATGTGATTACAGAGACATTAAGAAGTAGGAGAGAAGATTGATTACAGAGAAAATAATGCACGATTTGGATGAGAAGAAAAGTTAGGAGGAAAGAAAATAGGAAGAGAGAAGAGAAAATATTATTATCCATATTATTTGGATGAAGCAGAGAAAATACAAAGGAAAAAAAAAAAGCTAATATGTGAATGACTAAAGTACCCTTATCTATATGCTAAAATATATTATGTTTAAAACCAAATTAAATATCACAATAAAAAAAATTATATGAACATTAATATTATCAAATAATTTAAAAAATTAATTAATAAAAATATATCATCATATTATTACATTTAAAAATCAAATAGTTTAGTGAAAAAATGTTATTTTTAATAAAAATAAAAAATTGGATTTTTTAAAATTAAATATAATAAAATAAAATAAATAAAAAATTTATTATTTACAATTATTGTTAAATAATAAAAATTTATTATAAAATTTGGCTATAGTGAGATAATTTTGCTAAATAATAAAATTGCCATAAATAAAATAAATTGTATTAAAGTCAAAATATGTGTCTATTGGCCCAGTACGAGGGAGGATATACGAGAAATGTAAGTTTTCTTCTCATTTTCTCTCCATGTGTGGAGAGAAAAGTTGGAGGGAAAATGACATGAGCCCTGCAATCCATTTTCTCTCCTTTTCTTTCTTCCTGCTTTTTTCTTCTTATCCAAATAAGGGAAAACTCATTTCTCTCTTTATTTTCCTCTCTAGCTTTCTTTCCTCCCTCATTTTCTCTCTATCCAAACAAGAGGTAAAAGAAAATGGCAAGAATAAAATAGAAAGATATTGCTAGTGTGATGAGTGTAATAATGGTTCTTTAAAAATTAGCTTTGGTTAATCAAAACCTTTTAATTTGAAAAATTAACCATGATAAGGAAAGATAAACCTTGAATTTATAAAACTACTATCATGGTTATAAGAATT